TTGTTGTGCAAAGGGAAAACTGCTTTCATTGTGTGAGGAACACAGTGTTATCCTAAGTAGCTTTATCGTGCTTAAAAAATAATTCATTATGAAATGGCTGGACTGACTTATTATGATAGAAGGGCTGAACCCAGCTGTTAGGTTGTAATACTTCAAAAATGTGTCCTTTGGCCAAGAGAAAGATCGCTGCTGTAATTAGCCTTTCTTCTGCCAGATCCGTTGGCAGTGAACAAATCCTTGTGGATGCCTGATAATGTGCATTTCTACTTCCCAATAGCTGTTCTTTTGGAAAGGAGCAAAAAATGAGGCCAGACATCCTCAGAAATACTACACTGTTGTACCTCCATGGGGAAAGCATCCATACAATCAGGATGCAGTTCCAAGAATTCTTGTAGCTTACAAGTTTGTTGAAATAAAAAGCAGGAAACAATTACTCAAATGTGAGGTTGTATGTAATCAATGCACCCATTCACATTTATGTATATTACTCCCCAAGCTTGGACTGCATTCTTTCAATACAGCCCAGGGAAGATTAAGATGCCTCCCATTGTAATGCTGAGTGTTTAAGACTCCAGTGCTGCTCACACATGCTTGGGAGCAGGACCTCTTGAACTCAGTTAAGGGTAAATTAGATGATACAATAGACATGATTCTTTTTCCACTGGTGAATTCTGTATGTCATAGCACAGATTAAGATGCCTCCCATTGTAATGCTGAATGTTTAAGTGCTGCTCACACATGCTGGGAAGCAGGACCTCTTGAACTCAATTAAGGTTAGATTAGATGATACAGTAGACATGATTCTTTCTCCACTGGTGAATTCTGTATGTCATAGCACAGTATTTTCCTCAGCTCTGTATCTTGCATTTAGTGTGCTTTGTTTTGTGATTGGCCTTTGGAAGTTACCTCAAACATTATTTGCAAGACTGATAGATGAAGCTTGTACTTCCGAGGAAGTAACATTTTGAGTGAGTAGACAGGTTGATTATAGGAAATGCTGATTATCAAGTACACTGTACCTCTTTTAAGGCTCTTTTCCAGTTGTCCACTGTGGAATGGACAAAAACATACAAAGTGTGGCATAGACAAAGACATAAAAAGCTATTTTCTGTGTGTTCTGATTCAGGTCCAAAAAGGGAATGAATTCTATGTAAGTCTCTAAATTTAGAGGGACGCGAAGAATGACGGATGGGTAATAAAGAACTGAGGATTGCATCTTAAAGACAGAATGTGTAGCTCCAGAATGTAGGTCTCAATCAAATAGATTCAAATTATAAGGGATTAACATGCACATGTTATTTTTCACTGCACAGTGTATGATGATTGTAGAAAGAACTGAATTCTATGTAAGTCTCTAAATTTAGAGTGACGTGAAGAATGACGGATGGGTAATAAACAACTGAGGATTGCATCTTAAAGACAAAATGTGTAGCTCCAGAATGTAGGTCTCAAACGAATAGATTCAAATTATAAGGGATTAACACGCACATGTTATTTTTCACTGCACAATGTATGATGATTGTAGAAAAGAACTTAATCTCTCCACTAATAGGTATCTTTCTGCACAGTAGCCCCACAGATTTGTTACTGTCCTGCTTAGAGGGTGCATCCACTTATATTACTGACAGGGTGTCTAAATTTTTGTTGATTGCTATTAGAACTAGAGAGAAAATGTTGCAATCAACCTGAAATAAGTTTTTATATACTACATATAGTTTTTTTCCTGTATGTGCTGTATTTTCATATATATATATATAACCTTGCTGGTCTGTGACCTTAATAAAGAATGGTGATGATGATTATAAGGAAGATTTAAACTGAGCATTAAGAAGAACTTCACCATAGTAAGAATATTTTGACAATTGTTATACTTAACATTTTGATTACTCTTATACATAAAGGGATGCCTTAGAAAGTGATGATAATAACTTTACTGAAACTTTTAAAACCAAGGTTGAGTAGTCATCTGTAATGGATGTTTTAGGTGTGGATTCCATACATGGGCAGAAGAATGGCCTTGGTAACCTTTGAGGTTCTTTCCCACTCTACAGTTCTATAATTGTATTACTTTTAATATAATGCTTTCATCACACAAATAGCAACAAACAATCTAATGGATGTTTTAGGTGTGGATTCCATACATGGGCAGAAGAATGGCCTTGGTAACCTTTGAGGTTCTTTCCCACTCTACAGTTCTATAATTGTATTACTTTTAATATAATGCTTTGATCATACAAATAGCAACAAACAATCTTATAAATATTTCCAACTGGTCATGAAGTTCTGCGTCTGGCAACCTTTGATGTCTGGAGCACAACATCTGTGGTTCTTCAGACACTATGCAAAAGCATGTTATTACTTCTTTCAAATGAGAACCTGAAGCTTAGGGAAAGTGATGTTTGTCTTTTCATGGGCTCTAATAACTAAACGAACCACTATGGGGTTTTTATTTCTGTTTTGCAATGTTTCCGCATAGCGACAATTAATCCGGAATGGATTAATTGTCGCTATGCGGGGCACCACTGTATTTCCAACTGGTCATGAAGTTCTGTGTCTGTAAACCTTTCATGTCTGGAGCACAATATCTGTGGTTCTTCAGACACTTGGCTAAAAGATATGACGCTGGAAGATGAGCTCCTAAGGTCGGAAGGCGTCTAACATGCTACTGAGGAAGAGCTGAGGACAAGTACAAGTAGCTCCAGAGCTAAGGAAGTGGTTGGGCCAAAGCCGAAAGGATGCTCAACTGCGGACGTGTCTGGAAGTGAAAGGAAAGTCTGATGCTGCAAAGAAAAATACTGCATAGGAACCTGGAATGTAAGATCTATGAACCTTGGTAAGCTGGATGTGGTCAAACCGGAGATGTTCAAGAATAAACATTGACATCCTGGGCGTCAGTGAACTAAAATGGACAGGAATGGGCGAATTCAGTTCAGATGATTACCATATTTACTATTGTGGGCAAGAATCCTGTAGAAGAAATGGAGTAGCCCTCATAGTCAACAAAAGATGTACTGGGATACAATTTCAAAAATGACAGAATGATTTCAATACGAATCCAAGGCAGACCTTTCAGTATCACAGTAATCCAAGTTTATGCACCAGCCATCAATGCTGAAGACAATGAAATTAACCAATTCAATGAAAACGTACAACACTTTCTGGAATTGACACCAAAGAAAAATGTTCTTCTCATTTTAGGGGACTGGAATGCTAAAGTAGAGAGTCAAGAGTTAAAAGGAACAACAGGGAAGTTTGGCCTTGGAGTTCAAAATGAAGCAAGGCAAAGGCTAATAGAGTTTTGTCAAGAGAACAAGCTGGTCATCACAAACACACTTTTCTAACAACACAAGAGGTGACTCTACACATGGACATCACCAGATGAGCAATACCAAAATCAGATTGATTATGTTCTCTGCAGCCAAAGATGAAGAAGCAATATAGAGTCAGCAAAAACAAGACCTCGAGCTGATTACAGCTCTGATCATCAGCTTCTTATAGCAAAATTCAAGCTTAAACTGAAGAAAGTAGGAAAAACCACTGGGCTAGTCAGGTACAATCTAAACCAAATCCCTTATGAATACACAGTGGAAGTGAAGAACAGATTTAAGTAACTCGATTTGGTGGACAAAGTGCCGGAAGAGCTATGGATGGAGGCTTGTAACATTGTACAGGAGGCAGCAACAAAAACCATCCCAAGAAAAGGAAATGCAAGAAAGCAAAGTGGCTGTCCAACGAGGCCTTACAAATAGCAGAGAAGAGAAGGGAA